TTTATATTTCTGACAACTGCGGGTTGCACTACTTTAATTAATTCTACCCTTAATAGCCTGCCTAATCAACTCATGCAATACATACAATTACCAAAATCTGTGGTTAAGCAATTAGAACGTTACCAACACAATTTCCTTTGGGGAACCACTGCAAAACAAAATGCACCTGCTGAAATGGAGCAAGGTCACCACCCCTAAAACTCAGAGTGGATTGGGAATACAGTCCATACACCTAAAAAATAACTCACTCTTCGCTAGTCAAGCTTGGCGACTGCTGCAAAATCCCTCATCCCTTTGGGCACACACGCTATTGTCCAAATATCTACCTTCGGGCGCACCTCCCCGTTCATATACTTCATTTATTTGGAAAAATCTAACTACGGGTTGGTTTCTCTGTCAAAATGGGCTTCAATGGATCATAGGGGACGGTCAGCGTATTAATTTTTGGACGGACTCCTGGCTCGCAACAAATATACCACTACGACATCTCATATCAGGCCCTCTCCCACAACCATCACTTTCTACCAAAGTTAGCAACTACCTCTCTTCACATCACTGAGACTTCTCAACTCTACCTTTTGAATTACCTAACAACATCATCAAACGTATCCACACACAATATATACCCTCATTTACTCAACCCAACGACTCGTTCATTTGGTCCCTAACACCTCACGGGAAATTTACCACCAAATCCCTTTACCTTTCAATTCTCCCTCCATTTACTAAACCCTCCTTTAAATGGCTATGGAAAATTATCTCTTACCCTCAAGATAAAACACTTCCTATGGCTCTGTTGTCATAACAGACTACCCACCAATGCATACTACAATCACATTGGACTCATTCCAAATGACACCTGCACTATTTGTGCGACATCCTCTGAAACTATCCCTCATTTGCTTTTCCAATGCACCAATGCCCTCCGACTCTGGACAGAACTTTCCATGCACACCCACCTCTCTACAATTAATTACCAATCTTCTTCACCCACACTTTAGTTAAAACGCTTTATAAAACACACTCCGACGCAAAATATGCTCAACATCCCAAACTCCATTGTCATACCTTTCTGCCTTTGGCATATCTAGCTTAACGGAAATGCCTCCCTTTATCGATCTCACAAAGCACCCCCGAACCTCAACATTTGTCCTTCACAAGGCTGTTGAATACTATTACGTTGTCTTACCACATAATCGACCTCCCTCACGCATTCCTATGCACATTAAATGGCACCCTACTCCAACAAAATTTTATAAATTAAACCGCGGTGGAGCTGCGAAATTGCAATCACATTGCGGGGGATTTGGTGGAGTAATCAGAGACTCACAAGGTTCATGGATCATCGGCTATACGGGCTCATGTTTCACGTCTTTCAGTATCCACACTGAGCTTCTGGGACTCCTACATGGACTTAAAATCGCCTTTCTTCATGGAATTAAACCACTAGAAATTAAGATAGATGCTCAAGCAATACTCTCTCTCGTACAATACAATTCCCATCCATTATTTACTAATCTAATTATGGATTGCAGGTACCTTCTGTGATAGCTGGATGATCCCATCATACATCACACATACATGGAGCAAAATAAAGTGGCTGATATCCTCATAAATTTTGGATGCAACATGGATAACTCTGAAGACTTCCTCACTTACACTATGCCGCCATCTGCAGTACTGACGGTTTTGGAAGAAGATCGGCTAGGAATGCTTTTTGTTAGAAATATAGTACCTACTATTGACTATGTCTTGCGCCAACCTGACATATCATTTTGTACAACTCATCTAAGGAAATTAGATAGTTCTAGCTCCACACCCCTCCCCACTTTTTGTAACGACCCACCACGAGGTCGTCCCCGTAGTTCTTCTACTCTAGAAGGCCAGTGTTGTCATGTGCCTCGTTTCACTTTAGCTCCTTGTACTATGCCACCGTAATTTTAATATAAATATTTTCTTTTGAACCAAAAAAAAGTTATAAGTCAATGAATCAATTTACAAATAGATATATTTGATGATAAATTATATATACTAATTAGATTATTGCTTCTTCATAAGTCTATCCCTAAAAGAACCTGACCCTGTGGTCCTAGCCCTTCGTGTTCTTATATATATACGGCTATACCTATATATATATACACACACACACACTTCATTGTAATACTTTAACTATATATATAGAGCTTGTTATAGTATATGTTAGCGTGTGTGTGTATATATATNTAATTAGAATCTTCACACGTCTATCCCTAAAAGAACATGACCATGTGGTCCTAGCGCTTCGTGTTCTTATATATATACGGCTATACCTATACACACACACACTTCATTGTAATACTTTATATATATATATATATATATATATATAGTATATGTTAGTGTGTGTGCATATATATGCGCTAGGACCACATGGTTGGGTTCTTTTAGGGATAAACTTGTGAAGATCCTAATTAGTATATATAATTTATCATCAAATATATCTATTTGTAAATTGATTCATCGACTTATAACTTACTTAGATGCATCGATAAATATTAAAAACAAAACGTTTGAACTATATATATAACACGCTTTGTGGTACTACTTTAACTACGTATATAGCATGTTATAATATATGTTAGTGTATTCATTATTTGTATTACAAAAGTGTTAACAGATTACATTTATATTATTCAGATAGTATATTCAAAATTTTGACCAATGTTGACCTAATAACCGACCAACTTTGGTTGGTTATTTTCCAGAAAATAAAATATACCGACCAAAAATGGTCGGTAAATGCTTCCCCTGCATTAACTGACCAACGTTGGTCGGTAATTTTAAATATAAATTCTTTAAATTTTATAAAATATTTTAAATAATAATATAATTATTAAAATTTAAAAAATTGGGTCCACATTACCGACCAAAGTTGGTCAGTGATGTGAAAGTTTCTTTGGCTAAGCAAGTCTGACCAGCTCGGTCAACTTGTTGACCAATTTAGACCAACTTTGGCCGGTATTTATTTTTAAAAAATGTAAAATATTTTTTCCGATTTCCGTCCAAGCTGGACGGTTTTTGGTTGCTTTTTTTGACCGACCAACGTTGGTCGAAAAATTTTGGCTAGTTTTTAGCGAATTTCTAGTAGTGTAATAGCAAGACAATATAATTAGAAAACTAAATCGAAGATAGCAACAAAGAATATGAAAGAGATACTGAGAGCAAGTAATAGCAAGACAATATATTTAGAAAACAAAATCCAAGGTAGCAACGAGAATATGAATGAAGTACTGCTAGCAAACTACGGAAGTACCGATGGCAAGTAATAACAAAACAAGAAATGTGATAATAGCAAACTAAGGATAAAAGGGTATCGTACTAATACTAATACTAATACTAATACTAATACTAATACTATCAAACTAGGGAAGACAAAGGAAAACACACGACTACCTACTAACCTTCTACTCTAATCTTCAACCTCCACACCCTTCTATCTAGGGTCATGTCTTTCGTTAGCTCAAGCTTAGTCATGTCCCGCATGATCACCTCTTCCCAAGACTTCTTTGGCCTACCTCTACTCCTCCTCATACGCCCCAAGGCCAACCTCTCACACCTCCTGACTGGGGCATCTGTGTTTCTCCTCTTAACATGCCCGAACAATCTCAGCCTCGCCTCATGCATCTTTTCCTCCATAGGGGGTCACTCCCACCTTGTCCCGAATAACTAGATTCCTAATTCTATCCAACCTAGTATGCCCACACATCCATCTCAACATCCTCATTTCAGCTATTTTCATCTGCTGGACATGAAAGTTCTTGACTGGCCAACACTCTACCCCGTACAACATAGTCAGTCTAACCACTACCTTGTAAAACCTACCCTTAAGTCTCAACGCAATAAAATTATTCTACTCTTTAAAAAAGAAAAATTGAATTAATTAACAGTACCAGTTCTGGATAAATTTTTAAAATATCGAAGTTGAGAAATTCTAAGAGATGAAATAACTCGTGTAATTCAATACTTAATCTAATCATACAAACAAAACAAAAAAAAAAAGACAACTAAATCGGAAAAGATACCTTCAGTTTAAATTGAATGATCATTTGAAAGATCGTATTGTATTGCTTAAGCATCTAAAATTAGTGCAGTTTTGTGCAATGATAATATATGGACTACAATGTGCCAATTGGCTTGTTCTATTTTAACTGAATTATCAATAAACAATAATAGACGGACAAGCTTTTACATATGTTGATGAACGATAAGAGCTTCTTTTTTCTTTCTTATAAAATATTTTGAAATCAGAAATTGCTAAAATAATAAGAAACCAAACACGAGATATAGAGATTCATTCTGTTAAAAGTGCTACTTGTAATGTTACTTTTAACAGGAAGATTAGAACGAAATGAGAAAAGAATAAGAATTCAGTTATACCTAAAAACTTGCTTCTTATTTGAACCTTTCAATTAGGAAAAAAACACCCAATCTAATAAGAGCATCAAATACGAATCACTCGAACGGGAGAAATAACATAGTAGTAAAGAAAGCGCATAAACACATTCCTTCACAAATAGAGCCATAACCAATGCTCTATCGAAAAACTATTCTTCCTTCAAGCCGGTAAGGGAAACCTTCTGCATGAAAGCGGAAGGAAAAATCAGCATGCCCATAATTTTCACCTAACTTCACGTCGGAACTAGGACATTATATTATCTAAAAATAATTACTCCCTCTGTTCCAGTTTATGTGACCCTATTTTCTTTTTGGTCCGTTCCAAAAAGAATAACCCCTTTCTAAATTTAGTAACAATTTAGCTTAAACTTACAATTCTACCCTTAATGAGAAGCTTTTATAACCACACAAATACTCTGGGCCCCTTTTTGACTTGTTTAGGACCACAAATTCTAAAAATCTTCATTTTTTCTTAAACTTTGTGCCCAACAGGTTCACATAAATTGGAACGGAGGGAATATAAGTTTCCCAACGTTAAGTTCCATATAAAATATCAAGAGCGAAACTGAAACAAGACAAGATATATATGTATGTATTTGTAAGTAGCTGGTGCAATTAACACATAATTTAAGAACATTAGCATAACTTTGTGACCCTATACCATCCTCCAATAGAAATCTCCAAACCTGTCGATATCTCATTTTAACCTCCATTTCCATTTTCAAATGCTTTTTTGCTTCTTTAAGTGGACTCCTCATTCCATATCTAGCATATGTGCACACAGCTCTTGTAAGAACCAAAGCTGGAGATTTCCCTTTTAACACCAAAACCTTTCATGTCATTATAGAGCTCAAGCAATACTCAAGTTCTTCCTTTAAAATACTCGAAGCATCGGACAACTAGGGGAAAGGAGGGAATTCAACTATATACAGAACTTGCACCTAAATTACTCTTTGGTGTAACAAGGAAAAAGTAACTGTATATCATTACAGAAGTTAGAACTGAAAGATATCTAACCTTACAAAGCAATGCAGGTACCAATTTGGAAGAAAGTAATACCTCACTAAAAGAAACCTATCCATCATTAGCCTGCTCATCATGATCAAGCTGGTCATGGCCAGAACCATAATTAATCCACGGTAACATAGACTCGAGCAAGACAGCAATTGCATTTCGATCAGACAAATCTTGGACACGGTTGTTTGCAGGTTGTGCATCATTTGGCACCTCTCTCCTCGGGTCAACCATGAAGTTTTGCAGGTTATCAGGAGGCAAAGTCGGAACTGAATCAGAGAAATCTGATACCAGCAAGTGAGAATACCTGGTAAAAGTAGACAGCTAAGTTTTAAAATCCACATGCATAAAGTGAATGGTTTACATAAGAAATGAGTAGTAACTGAAGATAATAGTACAATACAACAACAACCCAGTAAAATCCACTAGTGGGGTCTGAGGAGGGTAGAGTGTATGCAGACCTTACCCCTACCCCGGAGGGGTAGAGAGGCTATTTCCGGAAGACCTTCAGCTCAAGAAGAAGAAAATAAACAATAAATAATAGTACAATATGCCTAAAAATAAGCAACACCATTTTCTTTTCTGTTGATGAGAGGAACAAGGCGAAAGGCAGCACTCACTCATTTTTCTCAGATGAAAAAGCTTCTTTTCGCACACACATCCAGTCTCCGGCATCATTTCCGTCATTCTGCAGTGTCTCAATTACTGAAAGTGCAGAATCCCTAACAAACTTCTGGAGATCAGGAAGCCTCCATATAAGGTAGCTCCTTTCAACATATATATTGATCAAGTGATCCAAGGAAGGTGTTCCTGTTTGATCAGAGCTAAAGAACTTGTGCTTGATTATGCTAGTCCAGGCTTTATCCTTCAACGGTACCTTCGACACTAGCTTTTTCAAGACTGAAGGATGTAACATCAATGCCTGCTTCATGATATCTGTTGCAGAAGCTTTTAAATTATCTGTCGTTATATCTTTAGCATGTTCCTCATTTTCAACATAGTAACGGCACACGGCAAGAGAATAGGAGTAATTTGGAAATAACCACAAAGAATTATCACTCTTATATTGCTCAGAGAACTGTTCAAGCCATGTATACTCCTCCGCTCTTAAAGAATAGTAGTCAATGCAGAACAAGACTCCCATTGGATCGTCTGAATCTAGTAGAAGCAATAATTTGCAAAGCTCAAGAGCAGACCGATGGCAGCCACGTCTATCCATGTTTTTCATGTGGGAGAAAAGCACGGTAAACAATGGCTTGTTGGTTTCACAACTATACTTAAGATGACAATTGCCCATCAAAGGAGTGAACAGTGGATGCCATGCACATTCCAATGCATACAGACATCTTGCAGTACAATCAGCCGACATTTGATGTTCACCACTGAATTTATAATATTCAGCTAATGTAATGAGTGACTCAACATGATATGGATGATGCAATAGAATATTCACGATACCATTAAAATCATGAACTGCCTTAGCACTTTCAAATGCTTCCTGGGCTTGGCTGTAGGATGATGTATGTACATACCTACGCGACATGAACCCAATTAGTTTGCACTTTAAAGTGATAAAACAAACTGCTGTTAGATGTACATCCATCCTCAAAGACAATAAGCATTATCATCAAAAGAAATAAAAATATAAGGTTAAAGTTTCAACTCATCTTCAGCTAAATCTTAGCTTCAACGATCAAAGTGAGTTGACAATTACCCCCAAAAAAAGGATAACTTAAAATGTAATTAAACATAAAGCAAAGGAACCAAGATGCTGAAGCCCTTTTATTGCAGCTGTCCTCTCATATACAGGGCTCTCCTTTTGGTTGTTGGGATTTTTTCTACCCGTTCACCTTCTTTATTTAAAAGAAAATAAAAGCAAAAATTGATAAACATTCTATGTAGCCCATAGTCCTGCATGAGTTTAAGCCGTTCAGCAATCTGTTGGCAGGATATTATTTTTTAAAACGTCAAAATCTTATACAAGGACAATCAGATAAATAGAAGATTTGCATCTAGCTCAAATTAATACTCATTCAGGTTAAGTGGTAAAACACCAACAGATGGATCTTTACAATCAGGCAATATCTTTCCTACATCCATAAACTAGAACCATTTTTTCTTTTTTGTATTTCAATATGTCACTGACTACTAGCACATAAAAAACCTAAAAGCAATAATTTAACATTTCATGCTGAATGGAGGTCAACTACTAAGTTACCATGGTAGTCAAAACCGTCCTGCTAGCATATACTAAGAAGCACGAATCAGACTTGGAGAAACTCAGAAAGACAGCACGTAAATGCGAAGAGATTATACTTGCAAAAGTTTTTGTTAATGTACTTATGAAAGTTATAGTACAAAGACTAGGAAAAAATTAAATTATGATATTTGTATCAACATACATACATACAAAATATATACACACACACACACACACTCATATTCATGAGTTTGAGAATTCAAATTCAATAATTAAAGTAAATTTAGATCATGCCATGTCGATTTCTTACCCACAATTATTGTTTAGGAAATCCATATAAACTAGCTATTTCAATATTTCATAGAACTTTTGTGGTGCAATGTAGCCGACCCCACCGTGCTTGGAATTGAAGCGTAGTTGTTGTTGTTTTGGTGCAATAATATACAACTTCCTTTTTTTCTTTTTCTTTTTTGAGAAGGAAAAAAAGAGAGTTTCATCTTCTTGCCTAAAAAGAGTTTCATCCAATTTTTTTAAGATAAAATACTAAATATTAACCAAAAGGAAGTTATACGGAACACATGCAACAAGTCAATTTCAATAGTCATTTTGTGCAATTTCTTATACTAATTATTATTTTAATCTGACCAAAAGGTAAACATATTTTATAGAATTTGCTAAATCAAGACTAATTCATATGTTTCAGAATCATCCAATGACAAATTACAAGAAAGAACATATTGTTCATGGTGAAAACTTATACTTTGCTCCTTATCTGTAGAACGTGGTCTAAATGTTTTGCTGTGTTTTATCTAGCACATTACACTGAATATTGCATTCATACCCCTGTGGCACTAGCAAAAGCATATTAATCTTGACATGTCAATACTATCAAGAAAAGCAATGACATTACCTAAAATAACAGATCCCATCTCTGGTTTCCACAAGCTCCATCGATAGTGATCCATCCCACCTTGGCCAATGTTCTAAAGGAGAAACAATAATAGTCTTCCGGTGGTTCTGGCTCCCACGTCTTCCGCCTCTTGGTTGTCTAGAACTTCCAGTTTGATGACTTTTTTCAAACGAATTTACCACTCTAGAACCAAATATCCTTTTTAGTTCGTTTTCTGCATTAAGAAATTTCGGGTCTACTTGTAAGACGGAAGATGTACACCGCTTGACCACTTTTCCTCTGCCATTTAAATTTGTCGTATTAGATTTTCCAGGATCGTGAGCAACATGCTCAAGATGAGAAGAATCATCTTTAATTGATAGTTGTTCTAATGACTCGTTCCAAGAGTTCTCATTATCCTCCACTCTTGGTTGTGACTTCTCCTTGTTTTTCTTCTTTTTCTTTTTCTTTAATTTGCTATCTGACAACACAAATGCTTCAGGAGTGGCTTTCGTGGTGAAGGACTGCTTCTCATCGCTATTATGGATTGGGGATCCATCATCGTTATCTGCCTTGTTTTCCTGCAGCAATAATCCATCATTTGGCATGGCTTTTGTCAAGTAAGTATAAAATCAACAATGAAGCAACGGTCACACTCTATG